TTGCCACCACAGTGATATTGTCGTAGGCAGCCGAATTAGATAGAAATATGATGTCAGTCAGACAAGGCCAGGCCCTCAAAGGAGATAACAAAGGAGACAAGATGGCTTGCAACTGTGAGGGAGACGGATGCTCCCGCTATAGGCCAGACCTAAGACCAAAGCTAAAATAAATGCCGACCTCCCTAAAGATTGGCATCCGGGACTGATCATCACCCTGAGGGAGCCAGAAGAATCATTAATCCCACTACTCCTGGGTGGCTACCTGATAAGAGTCCTGTTCTACATTCACGCCTGCTTGCTACGTGACTCCCTCCCCATTTGGTCCTGGACTTAATCAATCTTACCTGAGCAATGGGGCTTATAATCTCATTGACTGACCATAGTTTTGTCTCACCCCACATCCACCTAAGTAAGTTCCCATTTTCTCCACCTTAGCCCTGCATGGTTTTATACTATAAAAGTCCCTAGAAGAGATAGCTTCCTGGGGGACAACCTGCTTGGGCCCCCTCCTGTCCCTCTCTCGGACAAGAGCTTTCTTTCCCCCAATAAATATATTCTGCACATAACATCTGTTTGTTCCTAAAATTCATTCTTCGGTTCTAGAGAACACGAACTCGTGCAGGTCAGGTTGGGAGATCATTTTCCCTTTTATCATTTGGAGGTTCCCTGTATCATTTGGAGGTCGCCCACCCAAGATCAGTTTTCCTCCCTATATCAATGTCTTATAACACACAACTGTGTAGCATTAGTCTCTTATTCAGCTCACTCACTTAAACACACACCTCTTCTCTGCAGAATGAAGAGGATTCTTTCTAGAAAGCCACTGACCTTTGCTTCTCTCTATGCCCCACTTGCCTTGGGCTGTGTCTCTCATTTAGTGGGTGCTTCAGTCATTCTGAATGCTTGAGGGTTTCCCCAGGAGCACAGGATATTTTGTGCCCCAGCGCTTTCACCTCAGGAGCTCTCGCTGCCTGGAAGCCACCCCCGCCACCCACCCTGCCTGGGAAACTCCTGCGCAGTCAGGCCGCGCCTGAGGACGCTTCCTGAAAACTCTGTTAGGGCTGGATGTTTCTGCTTTGCTCTGGCTACCTGATCCCTGTGTGGTCTTCTGTTAGGACACTTGGGCTCTTGGATTTTGGTTACTTCTTTATTCTCATCGATGGTAACACATCAATAGGATCTGAGTGACTGTTAGGTGGCAGGCATGTCACACTGGTCTCAAGTTCAATCCTTTAAGACCATGAGGTAGGCATCATCCCTACCTCCATGTTTCAGATCATAAATCTGAGAAGTAAAAGTGATGTAGATTGCCAGGCGATTGCTGTGGAGTTAAGACTAATCCTAGGACTCTCTTACTCCCACCTGATTTATTTCCTTCCTTCCTTCTTCCCTCCCTCCCTCCCTTCCTTTCTTCCTTCCTTATTTCCTATCTTCTCTTTCTCCTATCTCCTCATTCATAGCTGTTACTTATTATTTAATTCTTCTATGGTGACTAACTATAAAATCTTTAAATAAAAAGTTCCTTCCAATATTCTTAGAGCACCTAGGAAGGAGAGCCATAGACGATGTGTCCCCAGTGGCGATGCGTCTGGCTGGGACCTGAGGATTTACACATTGTGTTGAGTAAAAACCCAGAGGGCACTGACTCCACGCCAAGGGAGGATTGCACAATGGTATCCCGCACTCCACTTGCTGCTTTGCTACTGGTAGATGAGAATGTTTAAAGGGAGCAGTTCGCTACAGGGAGTAGAAACAGTGTAGAGGAGGAAGCACCAGAGCTTGCTGGATGGAGAAAAGAGGAATTCAAGCGAATGGACACAGGCAGCGGCGCCCAGAGGGCTGCGCATAAGTGATGGGTTGCTCGGTGCCAAGGTCAGGCTCCATCTGCGGTTCTCGGTGTGCTGCTCACTGTCACGAGCGCCCAACACGGAGGTCCTGGCTCTTAGTGCCCAAACCTACTTCCCCGAGCCAATGCCCAGCTCTGTGCAGAGGAAGTTCACTCACTTTCTCACAATTGCATTCACTGAAACTGGGTCTCAATCCTGTAGACACAGGAGCTCAGAGAGCATGCCTCTGATAATAAACGTATTTCTATTTTATGTCCCAGAGTAAACTGGCATCAGGATTGAAGAAAAACCTAGATGTGACTAAGGAAAGTAACACTGGACGTGCTGTCAATGGAGGTCCAAACAGCACACTTCTGAGCCCACGACTTGAAGCTTGTGGCCTCTGTGTTTTGCTGGGTAGCCATTACTGACACCAAACTCCTGTCTCCTCTGCCCTTGCTGCTTAGAACTGAGATGTAGTATATTCAAAATAGTTAGGATAGATATACAGCTACTTTCTCTTAATTCAATGAATAGATTTGTACTAATAGTGTTTGTGGACAGGATATCATGTCTGCATCTTGTACTATGAATAACCACTAAGAGGATAGCAATATGCAATGTATTAATTATTGAAACTGTCCTACTCATCGGTTTTGAAACTGTCTCATTGCTATTTGTTTCTCAATAAAATTATATATATAAAAGAACTGAGATGTACCGACCAAGCTCTCCTGGCCACCTCGCATCACGGGGTCACCAGAGTGGAAGCCATGTGACAAGAACAAGGGGGCAAATGACAGAAGGAGCTTGTGTCACTGCTGACCACAGATCTATGCCCTGGCTCTAAGCCTGTTGGGCATTTGTCATTTTACATTTATGTAAAACAAATGTGTGTGTGTTTTAGCCACACTTATTTTTGGGGTCTCTATCACCAGCAGCCCTGCAAAACTAATGCCAGATTTCACGTGACAGAAGGCTGTCATACGTGCAAGGCCCTGAGGAGTGGGCTATACAGACTATGGGAGCATTTACAGTATGAGTAGGGCTGATGTGACCATCTTTCCTGGTGTCTGAGCTGTTGGTCAGGTTGTCTGCACTTTCACTGAAGCCTGGGAGGAGCAGATTCCTGTCTCTGCAGGGACTGTCCAGATGTGGCCACAAGCAGCCATTCTAACTCAATGTCAGGAGCTCTCATTATTCAAAAGGAAATTTTGACCAGCTCTTTGGCTTGCTCCTGGAAGGCGTGTTGAACTTTAAGCAATCATTTGCAGAATATCATAGTTTCTGGGACAATTATTTAATTACCATGCAACCCCCCTCTATCACTATCATGTGCCCTTTCCAGAGGCTGATGGGCTCCAGGTGCCATGCTGGTGGTCTGCATGCAGTGTGGCACTTGGCACACGGGAGTGCTGGAATAGCCTGCTGCACTTTCTTTTCCTGACAAGCAGTATGAGCTCCTTAACCTTTGGATTACCGTCGTACACTGACTTTTAATGTCTCCTCTTCATCTAGATTGCTGAAGACTATTGCTTAATGGACATTCCCAGGGACCCAGTTGGATGGGTACAGCATTATTTCCTCTGGGGGTATCAGGCATCATTAAAATCAGAGACATTCTCTGTTCCCAACCCCCCATTTACAGAGAGTGTTAAATCTCTACCTCTATCATCTCTACCTCTATCATCTCTACCCTCTCTAGCCTTAGCTGTGGGACCTCCACCTGGCCTGGGTGGAGGTGCGCGCTTCCCTCCGGGCTCTCAAGGGTGTGGCATAGTCCAGAGACCAGGCAGTAGGCAGAGCAGAGAGGTCCTGAGAGAGCGGATCATCCCGCCAGGCTGCCAAGCCCCCTGGGAGGTCCCCTGAATTGTCCTCAGGCAAATGCCCGTGCACGCCCATGCTTCTATGTGCGTAGGATGCAGCCCTCCCTCTCGATCCCTGAAAGTCCACAGGGACCCTTATGATCCACATTTCACTTGACTGAGGGGAATCCTAGTTCCTACTCCCTGCACCTAAGCACTGTGCTCCTAGCACCCTTGTCTTAAAGACAGCCTTTTACATCCAGCGGTTGTTAGTGGCTCCGCTCATGAATTCTGAGCTGTGGGTCAGGTCGCTTGTACAAGCACTATGTTTTACATAGGAAGGGCTGGGAGGAAAACAACTGGCTTAGTGGCTTGGATGCAGGATGGAAGTGACAGCTCAGGACAGGGCCGCTATGATCAGTGCTTCCTGGGCACTTAGTGGCTGGGAAGACGCAGTAGAGTTCACTTTTGTTCGAAATTCTTTTTTCAAAAAGTAGATTTTCCCTTCTCGTGAAATACATCGGTACTGTCATCATATTACTTTCTTAGCTTTAAATTGGCTGCGCGGCAGATCAGGCCTTATTCAGATCTGCTTATAGTAAGTCCTGAAGGACAGGCAGGAGCACTTGACGTGGGTCCCTTTGCACAAGAAGAACCTTAATGTTCTATGCCAGGTAAAAGGACTTAGTCATAAAGCCTTTTCTTTTCACCAGACGCTGTTTCAACCAGCCCCACATTCAGGACCACGCTCATTTTTTTTTTTTCCACAAAGCACAGAAAATTATGAAATGTACTTCTTGTAGAGTAGTCAGTTTCCCATCAGGCTTCCTTATGGGACAGTTAGGTATTTAAGGATGCTGCTTCTACTTTTTTTGGTCACTGAGGTACACTTAATGAATTCATTGAAGGAGCAAGATATGGGCTAGAGAGCTAGCTCGGTGGTCTAAGAGCCTTCCCGGAGAGTACAAGGCTCCCCGGTAGCATGTCATGAAGCCTTGTCCTAGAACCCCAGGCGTGGTGGTGTGCTTGTGTAATCCCAGTGCTGGGGAGGTTGAAACAGAAGGATCACTACGAGTCTGAGCTGCGTAGTGAGACACTGAACCCAATCAATCAATCAATCAATCAATCAATCAATCAATCAATCAAATGAATAAAAGAAGGGGTAGGATGTTTGGTGTCCTAGAGACCAAACAATGGGATTCTTTCATGAACGTTCTACCTATCATTTGTGTGCTTTGCGTTTTGATGGTGAGACAAAGGCCGTCTTGATGGCCGAGAAGACTTACCAGGCCTCAAGGGCTTGCTTGGCCGGAAGGATTTTTTTCTCTGCCCACGAGTACATCTAGATAACAAAAGTTAGACTGTGTACCTGTAGTATTCGTCTCCCACAAAGAAAAGGGTCTTCTGAGGCTCCTTGAGATACACAGCAGCGTCTATTCTCTGCACGTCCCTTGGGAACCCGAAGTCATAAATAGTCCGAGGAGGACCCTGGATGTGGAATCCTCGTGTTATCCAGTAGTGGGGGCCTAAAAACAGAAATTCAAGTTGGCAAAATCTCTTTACCTCTTAGCAGCACACTTGGGCCATGAAGATTTTTGTGCAGGTCCTAAGTGGGCCTAGTGCAGGGGGATTTTGGCCACAGCTAATAGATCCAATAAGAGAGGTATGCCTCTATTCCATTCAGTAATAGGCTTCAAACTTCTAGGTAGGAAAAATTTCTGGTTATGCTCAAGAAAGCAAGAATCTTGATATAATTGTGCCTTATTTGTAACACACTGATTTTTTTCAAGATACCTTTCATTTATCACATAGCTTCACCCTTATATCTATGTGAGAGAAAGGGCAAGTGACATGCAGGTGCTGCGACTCTCACTTAAACTGGTATAAGCCTTTGTCTCTTCCCCAGCAACAAGAAAATATAGTAGGGCTGGGACGTAGCTCAGAGGTGGAGCACTGGCTTAGCAGGTGCAAGATACTGGGTTCGGTCTCCAGAAATGCAAGAAAGAAAGATGCATATACAAACAAAGGCTGGCGCTTTTCACGCATTGGATAATGCTCCTGGTTAGCGATTGTTGCAGAGCATCTTCACTGCTGATACTACTATAATCACTTTGCAGAGGAAGACATCAAGCTCATCAGACCTACGTAACTGCCCAAAGTTGCTCAGATACTGAAGGCCAAGGCCAGTGACTCATACCTTGTGTGTGTCCTGCCACCACCGGTGCCTTCCTCTCCTGCTGCTTCTGACCATGGCACTGCAGCTGGAGGACTGTTTAATGTTAAAGGCTCCCAGGACCCTAGGCCATGTCACTCTGAGCAGAGAGGGCAGAGAGCAGGCTTCCTGCCCACGGTCACCTAGATTGCTGCCTCACTGAACTCAAGGGCTTGGTTAGGACAACAGTTGATAGTCACTGTCATTCCTGTCACTGTTACAACATGGTCGGGTGGCATTTTGTTCCCAACTTGACATATTCCAAATGAGTGGGGCTGTGGCCCTGGTACTGTGCCCTTCTTGGAGGGAGCTGAGGGTACCTTTGAAGAAGTAGGCAGTGCCACGCTCAGCCACTTCATAAGCTGCATCCACATTGGACATGAGTTGGGGGAAGGAGCTGGTGATGGTGCTTGCCCGAATCTCTGCCAGCAGGTGGACCTGTCGTCGCCAGAAAATCCTGGTGGGCATTCGGAGAGGAATCAAGAGAGAGGCTTGAGTTAGCTCTTAAATTGCAGACTACAAGATGCGCTTCAGGGGCCATTGCTAAGTGACCCCTGTTCTCTTGCTGTATTTTAAAAAATAACATGATTTTAAACCTTATAAACAATGTCTTCTCTCTTTTCATGTCTCAGCATCACTGTGATCTCTATTCCTTCCCTTATTCAAAGATGTTCCAAACATCAAGGATATCACAAGCAAGCAGCATTAATACCTTACACATGAAGGCTCTGAGTCTCTACTCCAAATATTACCTCCTACTCTGGTCTGCTAGAAACAGAAATCTCAAGGAGATAACTAGAAGAAGACGAACATGATAAATATTGTATAAAGGAACCAAAAGTTTGTATTTGGCAGATGCTAATTATTTCCTGTAGAAACAAGAAAAACGTTAATAATCATAAATTCTCTACACAAATCTTTATTAAAAGGCAAAAGATTTATACAGTCTTAATAATCATAAATTTTAATGTTGTCTCTATAATTGTCCATTGGAAGTGTTTGCATCTTTGAACTTGATGGTCAGCTAACAGAAAACCTAACATATTAGGTTAGGCTTAGCAAGGTATTCCAGCCATGTATCCAAAGGTATTTGCATAAAATGGTAGCAGTGTACAGGTGAACTTGCTGAGCTCCATTTCGAACATAAATACTGTGCACCCTGCACTTTGGAGATGAAATGCTTTTTATGAAACATATATAGGAGGAGGGAGGGAAGGGAGAGAGAAAGGAGAGGAATTAGAAAAAGAAGCAGGCTGTGTCTTGCCTATGTCCCTACTCCCCAAGATGACTCCAAGTCACATGGTCTGCAAACATGTACTAATAAAAAATTAATAAGTAAATCATGCGCAGCTCACTTGGCTACTTAGAAGCCCAGAATTACTGGATAAAATTACATATGAATAGATCTACTGTAATGAAGTTTTCTTTTTTAAAAAATGTATTTAGCTCAGGGTCTACACAGATCCAGACTTGTGGTGATCCTCCTGTTTTCAGCCTCCCAAGAGCTGGGGTTACAGAAGCATGCCACCACACCTAGTCTCAATCGTAGTCTCAGTGTGTCCCGGGGGTGGGGGCGGGGTTGGCATGGCATACCAGGGATCAAACCCTGGTCCCTGTGGCTGCCTAAGCAGGCGCTTCACTGTGCTGAGCTATCTGCCGGCCTCTGTAATGAAGTTTTGACTTTCATCATATACCCGATCTAGGCCCTCCCCGAATCTCACGTTGAGTTGTCGTGGGATGCTTCTCAAGGCCCTGGGGGAGATGTCAAGGACAAAACCCTGAGTAAAGCTGAGGAGCTGCCTTCAAAAGGTTTTAGTCTGGCAACAGAGAATGCTAAGAGCCAGGTGATTATGAGTCAGGGTCAGTGGTGTACGGTTAAGTTTAGGGTGCTCTGGTTATACCCCAGAAGGAAACCTCACCACATTTCGGGGTTGTCACGCATCCCAGGTGCGGACATTTAAATTGATAATAAGAGGGCCGGCCAGATAGCACAGTGGACCAAAGCACCTGCTTAGGCAGAGCACAGCAGCAAGGGTTCTATCCCTGGGCCTGCCGTGCCAGCCTTGTCCCTGGGGCGCACTGAGAGGGCAAGTGAGCCTGGGCGCGGTGGCACGCGCCTGTAATCCCAGCACTTGCGGAGCTGAAAACAGGAGGACCACTATGAGTCTGATCTGTGTAGTGAGACCCTGAACACCTTGTACTAAATACATAAAAAAGTTTAGTAAGTTGATAATAAAATCTCAAGAAGAGAAACACATTTCTCCATGTTTTCTTAGATTTATGATGCAGAAGAAAAAACTCACAGTTCTCAGAAGATGTTAGCAAGTGCCCAACCCTGAGGCTGCTTGGGGTCTCCAAACCTAGCTTTTCCTCTTGAATGAGAATAACCATTCCCTGGCCAATGCCACCAGGTTCTAGGAGGGTGAAAGGTGACAGTGCAGGGAAAAGTGCACCCTAAGCTGTCGAGTATCATGTGGGTAGATAGTATCCATTTTATAAGTTATCTGCCTGGTTGCCCATTAATTAAACATCAACCACACACCATAAGCAGAGTGGAGGGTCCTCAGGGTGCACAGCCTCGCTCATGCCAGACCCCAAATGTCACAGCCTGGTCTGGCACATTTTCGGGACCAGACGGCAAACGGGGACCCAGAAAGGCTGATGGGCTCGAGGCCCAGGGTTGCTGGGGTAGGCAGAACCCGGACAGAACCCCGCTGGCTTGATTCTGTCATGCACCCTGTCTTGTGAGCTCCGATCTTCCTTGTTTATAACTTGATCTTAGGCTCGTGAGAGCTGGACTTTTCTAAGGGCAAAGAAACTGCTTCTCTCTTCTCCTTGCCACCTCACAAGGAACATGGCTTTGAGTTCCCAGAAAGGGTTGGGGAGCTACTTTTTGAGTGAATTGGGAACCTGGGGAGGAATCTGAGATCAGCTGTTTTTCAATCGATGCAATTCAATCATAGTGCTGGAATGCAGGCTCTGTCCAAGGCACCGGGCCACGGAGCCGGGTGTGCCTTCCCAGGGTTCGTCCTGGTCAGGCTGAGGATGGGAAAGGTGGGAGGATGGCTGCAAGCATAGCCCCAACAACTGCAGTCTGAATCGGTCTCTGATGGGCACAGGGGTCATCTGCTTTTTTCCTCTGCATGTTAAGTGGCAGGAGGGGACTCTCCTTCGCTCCTCATTTAAATTTCAGTAAGAGATTCAAGGGAAAATTAAGCCCTACCTCTTAAGCACGCAACTGCCCTGAACCACTCATTATGATAAGTAGTGGTTAAGAGGAAAGAAAACCCAAAAATTTCAAAATTTTTCATAGTTGGTACCAGCTTAAATTTCTGACTACCTTGATTTTGATTTAGGTTACTGTGGCTCTTGTGAGCGCTGCGTTGAAGTCATCCTAAACCAAGTATGACTTTGGGTCCCGGGGACATTTGCCAGTGCCTGGTGATAACTGGGTATCACAAGTAGAGCCAGGCAGTGCTACTGGAGCCAAATGCCTTTAAGTACCCTACATGGAAAAGACAGCCCAACAGAACAGCAGTGTCAAAATTAGGAGACACTGGCTTAAGCACTGATAAGCCATGCTATAGTGTGTACACTACGTGCATAAGGTGAAAATAAGTATTATACAACATCACACATGGGAGCTATCACAGAACCTGAAAGGAACTTGTCCTCATGAAAACTGCCAGAAATTAATAAAGAAAACCTATGTCTGGTAGGAAATAAAACAAAACAAAATATTCTCAGAGAATTTGTGATTTTTTTGGCTGAGGTATAGTACATTTATATTGTATATTTTGACTGTATTTTATGGAGTGAAATGAATTAATATCGAACAAAAATGCCTAGCAAATAATCTCCTAATACATTGGAAATGGATTTAAAATATAATTTAAAAAACTGACCTATGTCTTAAAAGAACAGCTGCAGCATATCTTTGGACTGAGTAATAGAAATAGATCAACAGACCATGTCGATAGCCTGTAATCTAATCTCTGATAAGGACGGCAAGACAATGAAGCTGACTGATATGTTGGAGCCAGTGATTAGATATTTAGCTGTACTATTGATCTTTGTGTGCCCAGTGGCTGACACACACCTGGCACACAATCAGGGTTCAGTAAATGAGGGTGGCTAAGCAGGTAGGTGCCAGGAGCCGGAGCAGGAAACATCGCGTCCGCAAATCTCCTATTCCCTGAAGTTCTCATTTCCTTTTACTACAGGACTGTAACTAATCCATCAACTTGAGATTAAGTTACCAATAAGCTCTTCCTGACCTCTCACAGCTCTTTACCTGTCTTTGAATATTTTGGGGTCAAGATCACATGGTGCTCATTCTCTTATCCTGGGGCTTAACAAGGGGCCTGGTGTATTTTGATACACATTGTCGAACCTTTGTTTTTCTATTTAGTACTAGGAATTGAAGCCAGTCCCTTCAGGATGTAAAACACGTTGTTTTACCATTAGACTAAGCCTTTGCTCTTTTGTGCGGTACCCAGCCGACCCTGCTTTCCATCCTTTCCATCTGCCTGTGCTGGCCTGCCAGCCTTCCTCCCTGGGCAGGCCTTTCCCTCCTATTGCTGGGCTAGTGGGGCAGGGCAGTCCCCGCTGAGGAGCACCCTTGTTTCCTCTTCTCTGCAGCCCAACTGTCTTGGACCTGTCATTCTCTTTCCCGGTACTTCCCTGCCATTCGACTTCCTACTTTCAGGAGGAAAGTGTATTTCTTTTTATCCTCTTGATGTTTCCAGCTTAATTGCTATTTACTCCACTGAGATCAGGCAGTACAGCACAATGAAAGAGCAAGGGATGTCTAGAAGCTTTTCTGCATCAGATAAGTGAGTCGTTTTACTGTTTGAATATTCACTTTCTTTCTGTGGAATAAGAGTGAGACAACACTGTACCCAGTTCCTATGAATGGTCAGTGGACATGATGCGTATGAGAATGCTTTATACATTCTGGTCTATTCTGCAATTACTAGTAGGTACTTAACATGTTTTTATTCTACAAATCTATTAATTGGTGGTATGTAAATATTTAAATATAGAGTTTGTCAACATGAGTGAGCTTCCTTTTGAAGTTGTTTCACTGGAAATTTTGAGCTATGTGAGAGGTTCACAATTGTACTGGAAATTTTGAGGTAAACCATGTCATGAGAGGCCATCTACTCTCTGGTTTCACCAGTCAGGGCTGCATATCTTAGATGCTTCAGAGGCCAAGAAATCAGCCATGCATCATCACGCTCCCCACTGAACCCAAGAAAAGCACAGCTCATAAAATTAAAAACCTATACGTAGCCAGTTGTGTGAGATAAGGCTAGTCAGTGCTGTGCACCTTGTCCTTTAGCGAATTTGCTTCCATCTGAGGAGCCACCAGCACCTGTATTAACAAGTCAGAGCCTGTGAAGATGTAAAAGGCCCCATTTTCACTCAGAAGGAGAGAGTCCAGAACAAATGAAC